TTCGATCATGGATTACAAAAAATTCTATCATGGGTTACAAAAAAACAAAAAATTCGATCATGGATAACAAAAAAAAAAAAACAATTCGATCATGGATTACAAAAAAAATCGATCAAGTATTACAAAAAAATCTATCATGGATTACAAAAAAAAAAAAAAAAAATTTATGTTCTTCCGTACGGGACTCGGCGTTTATTTAAACACTGGTTAATTGGGATCATGTGCTGTAAATATCTTAGATTAATGTACCTTTGTATCTCTTTCTTTTATCTAGTGATCGTATTAACAAAAGGGAAATTTATCAAAATATACCTAACTTGTAAATTATTTAACACTTTACCCATTTCCAACTATTCCAACTTATGCATGTGCATTTTGATGGGATTTTCAAAATTAAATCAAAAGAAATCCCTAAAATGTCAAATAGTTCATCTCTCAAGTGCATTTTGATAAATTTCCCTTAGTATAACAATATCCGTACCAATCCTGAGTTTCTTAGTTTAAGGACTCCCAGAATCATATTTGTGTTATAAACCCAAATATCCTCGCCTTCCTTTCTCTAGATTTGGAAAATCGAAAGAAAGCGCATTGAACAATTAAAGGAAGAATAAGTAGAGTCGAGCTTCTAAGCATTAATCCACTTCAAAAAAGCTACAGAAAAACCTGAATACAACAACAACTAACCTATCAGTAAACAAACATTCCACAATGTTGACAAATAGTAGTCGACTTCTTTACATCTAAATTAGGAAAACTTAATCAGCAAATGTGCAATAAAACTCTCTCCAAAAATGCGCATAAAAGGGGGAACAACAGATAAGTAAAAATTAAAGCACCAAAATTACAGAATCAAAATCAAGAAAAACAGAGCTTCATATTTCCACTCAACACTAACAATTCAAGCACATTAGTATCAGACGTAACTCCAAAAGCATCCAACGAAAATAACATTTCCATCCACAAGTGACATTTGAATTTAAGGCACAGTAGAATTCCATCAGAGACAAGGAGCGGAGATACGTTCGACCATGTCTGTTCCTTAAATTCTAGAGAGAGAGAGAAAGAAACTCACACTGAGAGGCAGGGGCAGAGAGAGAAAGAGCCAGAACCTCTACACCCATGGCTGCTGAGCAAAGAAACCCTAGATTCAGCGGAATTCTAGGGTATGAGAAAGCTCAAAAGAGGCGTCAGAGCAAGAGCAACCTAGCTGCTACGTATACATTACAGATAGTCAGAGATAGAACGAGAAAGAGAGAGAATAAAATCAATCTGCAACGACTGGTCGGACTTTTTCCCGCACATTGTACCTCCTTTTGTCATCTACTTTAATCCAAGCAACACATATTTTCCTTTTATCCTTTATTTTCATTTTATTGAGAAGAAAAATGTTTTTGATTGCCCTATCGAAATATGTAAAATTGCACCTCAGAACTTTACAAAATAATTACAGTTTGTAATATTAGAAAAGGACGCGGTTAGCATGCGGCCAAGCCCGCACATGTACCAATGGAGGCTTGGCAATAAATATATTTTTAAATATAATTTAATCTTAATTTTTAAAAAATATATCATGAATATAAAAAGATAAATAAATTTTGAAATTAAAAATAATAATTATATTAAAAAAACATATGAACCGTTAGCTACAATTATTTTTAGATGGACCACCTATTTGCATCTATCTTTAAGATGATGCTTTCTATTTCTGGACCGCATATTGTACAAACGCAGTCTAGCCCGCATAAAACAATTGTTCATTAGAAAATCTTCAAATTGATCATATCTGTTTTGACTATTATGATTGTAGAAAAATGGTTTAGTATATTAAATATAATATATATTGTAACACATTATTTAAATAATCCATTTCACCTTAAAAATAAATGTTCATAGATCTCCAAGATATGTACTATTTTTTAGGCTTTAAATTTTATAGTCGGTATTAAAAAATTGATCATAAAGCCATCATGGAGATTTCCAACACGCAAAGTGCTTTCTGAACAAGGATTGGAGATGAGGTTTTTATTTTGTTTTCCTAAACCTAGGCCTTATAAAAATTGCATCATACTTGGAATCATTGAGAAAGATAGGGATCATATAATACAATGATCCATAATCCACATGATCACAGTATGTGTAGGTTGGATATCCCATCATTATATACTGCTATCCTAGTCATGAACTGTCGTTGTTAGCATCGGATGGTTGAGAAGATACAAGCAGATTGAAACGCAAGTGTTACAAGCATATAAAGCCCATACACTGTACGGGGATTCAAATAAAAATTACAAAGTGATTGAAAAATAATTAGAAAAATTAGCCTACTTGGACATCTTATTGACAACAAATCAATTAAACGTCCACCACTCTTTTCTGAGTAATGATCCTATGAGAACCTCCCATATTCATGTGTGTAGGACCCTAAAGGATCACTATTAAATTTGGCACAAATCTCTAAAAAAATCAAGTTCTACACTAATGTGATAAGTTTTATAGATATCCGTGTCAAATTTAATGATAATCATTTGAGGTCCTACCTGCATGGGTGTGGGAGGGTCTCATATGATCATTCTCCTCTTTTCTATACTCTTTCTCTCTAAAGTGGGTGATAATAAATGCACTTATCACTGAATATGGAGATGACACAAATGACTTTGAATAAGAAAACCAGGTTTAAAAAGCTAGAATCAGACCCTAGACCATAGAGGGATTATATCCAATTCAGGTAATTCCGAAATTGTATGTATATATATATATATATATATATATATATATATATATAAGAAGAAAACGAAAATAAACGTACGGTCGTTGTATACGTAGTAATATATATACTATAGAAGTACTATACTATATTGTACGTGGTACGTAGTACTATTACTACTA